CCGGTCGTCGACGAGCCCGGTGCTGTACGCGGGCCCCATCACCGCCGTGGACAGCGCGCTCTGGAACGCGAGCCCCGCGCCCGCGCCCTCCACGGGCCACCGCTCGTACGGCGCCGCCGGCGGGGGGTAGTACGCCGGCGCGCGCGCCTCGAGCCCGTAGTGCCCGTTCTCCTGGTAAACGGGCGCGAACGGCCGCATCGCGAGGAAGCTTTCGGCGCCGGGCGGCGGCGCGAACGTGTCGTCGAGCGACTGTGTGGCGGAGCGCTTGCGGGGGCGGAGCGGCTCGGTCGCAAGGCTGCTGCTACTTGCGACGTCTGCGTCGGCCAGTGTCGCCTGCGCGCCGCGCAGGAGCTCCAGCGCCCGGGCGGCAGCCGGCCAGATGATCTCCATCTCCCGGAGGCCGTCCATGCATTTTGCGAGGCCCATGCGGGCTTGCGGGTCGGTGGGGTATGCGGAAACTGCGGGGAGGATATCAAATCCAATGCTCATACAAAGTGTAAAGATGGCTCACGCGAGGTAACGTGCATTATGCTGGCGGTGAAGATATAATAGCAATGGAAGACGGGACAGTGCTTGAGGGTGTGTGTTTCGGAATAGAGCCTAGCTGCAGGCGATGGTCAGATAAGCGGGAGGCGCCGACAACGCTCCGACACCCACCAATCGTCGTAATATGGTTCGCAGCGCCGGCACACAGCTCATAGCTCTTCTCCGCATTCCCCCGCACGTCGCTCTCCTCCGGCGCGGGACTGCTGCTCAGACACATCAGCTCTAAATGCACACAGACGAGCGGATCGAGGACGAACTGCTTATTCCGGACTGGATGCTGGCGGATGCTGCGCCGGACACCAGTCAGCTGCGGAAGGGTCCCGGGGAAAAGAACACCCACAAGGGGCGATGCAGCAGCAACACCGCGCACCAATACTGCATGTGCAGGGTGAGCACCTGCGGGAGCGGGACCTCGCCGCCCGCGCGCACGGCGGGGTCGTGCCGCAGGTGCACGGGTAGCGAGAGCAGCCACTTGTCGAGCAGGCCGTCGAGCACGATCAGCTCCGCGTGCCGGCTGCTCGGGGGCCGCAGCGCGTAGATGGACTGCACGATTTGGCTCAGGATGCCGGCTGGGCACAAGTCAGATAACGCGCGGAAGACGGCGAAAGACGCACAGAGGCGCGCGGAGGCGTTGAAGCACGAGATGACGTGCCCTGGGCGGGGCGGGACGCGCACGGGGAGCCCGGCGGCGTCTGTGGACAACGGGGCCCACTCCTCCATCTCTTCGGCCTGAGAATCATCAGCGGGGGCACATCGGGTGGACGAACACACGTACATCGCACTCGCTCGGCAACGACGTGTCAAAGTCGCGCTCAAAGATGGCCAAGGGGCGGCCTGCGCAGAGGTCATCGGCCAGGCACGAGATGATCAAGCAAGAACACCCACCGATATACGTGCTGACATACTTATCCATAATAACGCACGCATACCACGTCCGCCTCCGCTCCTCGATCTCCCACTCACTAAACAGCTTCCTGTCCTCCCTCGGCCCCTCCGCCTCCCCATCCCCGCCCGCACCCGCACCCCCATCCGCACCCCCCTCCCCCCGCGCGCCCCCCACGCGCACCCACCCGTCCGCATCGCGCTGCATCCCCAAGTCCTGCGCCATCCGCACCGCCATCCCGATGTAAATCCACGCCTGCGCCATCGCGCCGATCCCGATCTCGCGGAAGCCCATCAGCAGCAGCGCCTGGCACGTGCTCGCGCGCGACGACGCGTACGAGCTGTCCAGCAGCGCCTTGGCGCGGAACAGGAACGCGTCGCCCGCGGGCCACATGTACTTCCGGTCCGCCCCCGCGGGGTGCGCCGCGGGCTGCGGCGCGTGCCGCGCCGCGAGCGCGTACATCGCGAGGAGGAGGAGCGGCGGCGGGCGCGGTTTCCTGCTGAAGGCTGAATACAACCGCAAAAATGGGGAGAAGACGCGCACCCCTCGGCGCCCGCGAAGCCCTCGAGCACGGCGCGCTTGTGCAGGACGGGGAACGACGGGTGCACGTGCAAAAAGTAGCGCGCGAGCAGCGCCTCCTGCGCCGCGCGCGGCGGCAGCCCGTCCGCGTCCACCTCGCCCTCGTCCTCCTCCCGCTCCGCGTCCGCCGCCGGCGTCGCGGGCCACACGCGCGCCTTGGGGAAGCGCCTGCAAACGAAATCAACACCGATTTAAACGAGGAGACCGAGCGCGCACCAAATCCCGCCGACATTCTTCCCCACCTCCTCGTCCTCCCCCTCCTGCGCCCCCCGCCCCGCGCGCCGCCGCGCGCGCCCCCGCGCCTCCTCGTCGCTCTGCCCCTCCTGCCCCTGCCCGCTCCCCGCCCGCCGCGCGAGCAGATGCAGCCCGCTCGCCTTCCCGTGGTACCGCACCTGCCGGTCCTCGTTCAGACTCAGCTGCCCCACCGCGCCCGCCAGCGCCTGCCCGTCCTCCCCGCCCTCCCCGTCCCCGCGCACGCTCACCCCCACATCGACGTCCAGCTCCGCCTCGGACCCCGACCCGGGCGACGCCGCGCGCGGCGAGCGGAACGACCCGCTCGACGGCGGCCCGCGCAGGAACGGCGGCGCGTCCCGGAACGCCTCCCCGCTGTCCACGCGCCGCCGCAGCCGCCGCGCGTCCGGCACCGCGCCCGCCGAGAGCGGGAACGCGCGCCCCGCGGGCCCGTCCAGCGCGTACGCCGGGTGGTGCAGGTACTCCCCGCCCGCGCTGTGCGGCGGCCCGCGCCCGTGCCCGTGCGGGATGACGATCGCGGGCCGCTGCGGCGGCGCGTACCCCGCCGCATACCGGTACCCCGCCGCGCCATTCACGCCCGGGTTCCCGTTCGGCGTCGCCGTGCCCGACCCCGCGGGCGAGCGCTCGAACGCCCCGCGCGCCGGCGAATGCTCGAACGCCGCGCGTGCCGGCGAATGCTCGAACGCCGCCCGCCCCTGCGCATCGAATGCCTCGAACTGCCGCGGCGGCGCGTCAAACGCACCGCGCTCGCGCGCCCGGCGCAGGAGGTGCGCCGTCACGCGGTCCATCCACTCGTGCGAGGGGCTGCGCAACTTGACCGTCAGTATGCGTCGTATGCAGAAAGGAGGACGAAAAGAAAACAACGTACTGCGTGCTCCCAAGCTCCGCCTCCTCGCCCGCTCCCGCCCGCCCCCGCTGCCCCTGCCCGCGACCGTGCGCACCCGAATTGGAATTGGGGTGCTGACGCTGGCTTTGGCCGTGCGAGGGCGCATACGCGGCGGCGGACGAGCCGAGGCCGCGCCCGGCGGGGCCGTACGCGGACTGGTCGATGCGCGCGAGGATGGCGCGCGCGAGGGGGTCCTAGATGAGTGTGTTAGCAGGGGTTGAATGTGGGAGGGGGGATCGTGGCGGCTGGCAGCAAGGCTGACACCCACTCTGCACCACAAACGCAAGCCTGCCAACCCCCAATTGTTTAAAAACCCCACTCACCTCCCCCAAATCCCTTAACACCCCCCGCGCCCTCCCGTCCCCCCCTTCTTGCCCTCCCCCTCCGCCCTCTTCTCGACTACCACGCTCTTCGCTGCGCTCCTCGCCCCCGCGCGCGGCGGCGATCAGGATGGCTACGAGGGCCTCGGTCTGGTGGAGGCGCGCCTCGATCGCGTCGATGTAGCCCTTGGGCGGGCCGCGCTTGCGCGAGGGGCCGAGGAAGGTGCAGTCTGTGCACGGGGTTAGTATCCGCCGCGAGAAGAAGGGGTAGGAGATACGGACCAGTGCCCACCAGCACACAGGCCCTGCACGCGGCGCCGGGTGGGTCGCCCGAGCGCTCGCACTTGCACTTTGACTTGCGGCACTGGTCGCAGGCTGCGAACGGAGTGAGTGAAGCGAGAGGAGAATAGGAAAGGGGTTAAGAGACACGCACCCTTGCTGCTCCTCCTCCGTATCATCCGCTCCTTCTCGTCCTTCTTCTCTCGTGCGCTCGCAAACTCGTCCCCGTCCTCGTCCCCGTCGTCCTCGTACTCGTTGAACGGCAGCGTGTACGCGGGGGTGTCTGCGGGCCACGTTACGCCTGCAGCGGATGCCATAGCGGGGTTGGGTGAGGGGAGGGGCTCTGAGGGGTCGCGGTTGGAGGGGGCGGAGGCGGTGCCCGGGGGTGTGTGGAGTTGAAAGCGGAATTGTGTCAGTCAACGAGGATTATATTACACAGAGCCGTTGAAATGGGTGAAAGCGGAACCGGGTTAGGGCGCCCACCGGAAGACCGTGCGAATCTGACATCACCCGATCACACGCGCATCCGACAGAAGGCCGGAAGTAAGCGGAACCAACTCCGGCACAGCGGAAACAAACTCCGACGGCGCGCCACGGTCACGCCTGCTAACATTTCACTCCATCCGCGCGTCGTCCGCGTCTATCCGTCGATCAGTCACCATATTGGATCCATTCCAACAGGGCGAGGAACGAAAAATTGCGCACGCAGCTCCTATCAGTCTCTCTCTTGCCCTCACCACGCGGACGCATTCCACCGAGTCGATCGATCATGCCTTCTCTTCTCGCAGTGTGCTCCAATCTTCCCTTCCCTTCTCTCCAGCCTAGCCTAGCCTTCTTCCCTCCACCTCCAACACTAATATCAAACCCATTCTTCCGCCTCCATTCATTCCCTATTTCTTTCCACATATTAATTTCCAGCCTTCTCCTTCCATCATCCCAAGCGCATTTCCGCTCCCCCGGTACCGTGACCCCCGATCCTCGGCGCACCCCAGAAATAACGAGCACTCCCGTTCGATCACCCCCTCAGCGCTCCGAGTCCGCCTCCGACTAGTACTACACCCACTCGCCTCGATTCACACGCCCATTGCCAAATCCTTTCGAAATCCCACAGCTGATTTGCGAAATCTTTGGGCAGGTCCCGCATGAAATCCTGAGTACACCAGCTGGATTCAGGAATCAAGACACTGGCCTGCTTGCGTGGCGTGGAGGGTACTCAAAAAATACACCAAAACGGCAGAACATTTCGCTTTGCATATGCCGCTGGTGGGAGTCGAACCCACGCCGCCCCACAGTGTCTTACTCCAGAATCACATGCGAAGGGTGATGTCCCGTTGAGCTACAGCAGCTATATGGACCCCTTTGTTCAATTCGACAAGCCCCGCCATTTTTCGAAAATTTAAAATCCCATAAAGTTAAAAAATTGAGAAAAAATTATTGTCGCAATAAAAAGGGTCCCGCGCGCCGTGTGACTGTCGATTTGAACGAAAAAGTACAGTAGACCAGATTCGTTGATAATTGCCCTACGGGTGGCGCCTGGACACGGTCCATGTTCGAGTCACACTGACAATACCAAGGCCCTTCTGGTACCTTGTCCTGGATCTTAGCCATAAAATTCATAATAGACCTAGGCCTGAGAAGGAGTGGCCCGCTTGCAAGTCTCGTCCAGCCTCGTTCCTGGGCCAACTTGCCTCCCTCGCTGGCTAGATGCTAGAAAATCATTCAATAGAGTCGACCTGAGCTGTAAGAGTAAACAACTCGGAAAATTAAAATATTTAATGAATTAAAAGAAACCTGGCAGCCAATCGGGAGACAGGAAAATCGACTTTAATATCAGATTTCATGGCAGCCCGGGAGCTCCGGTATGATCAGACAAAAAGGACATTTCGTGTTTGAGACCTGGTAATTGAGAATTAGCTGACCTCAGTGCAATCTGAGGACCAAATCCCACGTTGCATAAAATATCAGCCTAAATTGAACCTCTTTCTAGTAGTTTCAGCCGTACTGATTTTGCACTCCATAGTCATTAAATTAGACTTGATTTCAGCTGCACTAGAATTGGTTTCAGACACTGTGAATCAGCTTATGAAAAGTATGAGCCAAAATGGGTCACCAAAAGTACTTGTATCATTAGCCATTTCATTCCTCTGGAAACGCAAGGTTCAGCTTAATGTTCCACCCTGCCTGAAATGTAAGTGGAAATAATTGATTTCAGTCCTGCCGAAATTTGGATCCCCTACCAGATTTCAGTGGGACTTACACTGCGGGCACAGCCCGTGGCTTTGCATTCATGGCAGTTGATCCGCGTATCATGGGCATTTGCCACGGTGTTGGACAAGCATCAGTAATTTTCCCTTTGTCTTATGTAATGTCCAACAATTGGAGATAAAAAAATTTACTTCGTTCCCATGGACAGGAGGAGGGGTGTATTACTGCAGAGGTCCCAATCAGGAACAAGCAGGTGCTGTGCCGACGTGCAGGACAGGGGAGTGGGCCGCTGTTCCCACTGACAAATAATGGATAGATATGATATGGATTGACAGTATTTTTAAATTTGCATGGAATAGCTGAAATTTTACGAGAGACTGATAATATGCATTGCTTTGATATTTGAAGGTCAGTTGTGCTTAGTGGTCTATCCCCTGCTTTATGAACATGTCGGCCTGATTTATCATTTGAGTTGGCTCCAAACAAATAAATCACAAATTTAATCAGGAAGGCCGTGGAATAGCTGAGATTTCTATGAGAGACCAATAGTATGCACTACTTTGATATTTGAAAGTCAGTTGTGCTTAGTGGTCCATCCCCCGCTCTATCTTCCAATGAACATGTCGGCCTGATTTGAGTTGGCTCCAAACAAAGAAAAATCACAAATTTAATGAGGGAGTGCATGGAATAGCTGGAATTTTAATGAGAGACTGATAATATGCAATACGTCGATATTAGAAGGTTAGTGGTGCTTAGTGGTTGATCCCCCGCTTTATCTTCCAATGAACATGTCCACCTGATTTTGGTCCAAACAAAACACCAAACAACAAATTTGCAAATTTAATCAGGAAAGCCGTGGAGTAGCTTCCATTGTTATAGAAGACTCAGGATAGGATGAGCTACTTTGATAATTGGAGGAGTTATGCTTAGTTGTGCATCCCCCACTTTCTTTTCCAATGAACATGTCAGCGAGATTTGAAGTGGACTCCAAAACGAAGCATGACCGAAACTCTATTGAACAAACTCGCAGAAAATAACATCTATGATAGAACAACAGAATTAGGAGCCTAACGTTTCTTCAACCTCCATCTTGTCCTCTGTATCTTCAAGGTCAATCTCTACCTCCTCCTCGTCATCTTCAGCATTGGATTTGGGGAGTGCATTGATCTCCTCTTGAGACAGGATGTCATAATACTCAAGAACATCATTACCATACATTTCCATGAACTCCTTCTTGCCCATCTTCTTCCAGTCCTTGTACGCCTCGTCGAGCGTGCCACCGGCACCGAATCCGATCCTGCACGCAATCATGCTTTACGGAGGGAAGGGCTGTAGATCGCCCTCCGCATGCATAATTCGAGCAAAATGAGGGAGACGTGGGTTCTCCCACTCGCGGCATATGCCATATCCAGACCGTGTTTCTTTCTTGGCGTATCTTTTGGGTACCCTCCACGCAAGCAGGCAGGCGAGTATCCGATGTCTCGTCTTTATTGATCGACCGTGGAGAACGAAAAAGATCGGTGAAAAGTTGATCCCCTGCGCTCGTTCTATAGCGTAAAACCTCAACGGCAGATCGCCCTCTGCATGTCTTCTTGCAACAAGACATTATTGTACATGTGGGTTCGACTCCCGCCGGTGGCATGGTCAGACGTTGTGATGTTTTGGGGTATTTTTTTAATACCCTCCACGCAAGCATCTCGCCTTTATTTATCTTATCTATCGACAACCGTGGATGTGACCTCGAGAACAATGGGATCCTGAACTCCGAAAGGTCGAACTGGACTACGGGCTGAGGCCTGAGGCCTGAGGGTTATACTCAGGATATCTTATGCGAAATGTTAAGGGGAATTCGAAATCTTTGGGCAGGTCCCGCATGAAATCCTAAGTATACCAGCTGGATTCAGGAATCAAGACACTGGCCTGCTTGCGTGGCATGGAGGGTACTCAAAAAAATACACCAAAACGGCGGAACATTTCGATTTGCATATGCCACTGGTGGGGGTCGAACCCACGCCGCCTCACAGTGTCTTACTCCAGAATCACATGCGAAGGGTGATGTCCCGTTGAGCTACAGCAGCTATATGTACCCCTTCGTTCAATTCGACACGCCCCGACATTTTTCGAAAACTTAAAATCCCATAAAATTCAAAAATTGAGAAAAAATTATTGCCGCAATAAAGGGTCCCGCGTTATGTGTGACTGTCAATTTGAACGAAAAAGTGCAGTAGACCAGAGATTCGGACTGCGGTGCTACTGCTGGCAAATCAGTTTGTCGCTCAGCAATTTGTCCTCTAGGGTGAAATTTGTATATCTGAAGTCTCTCATTGGCCGCGGAATTTGTGTTTTAATAAGATGTACAAACTTGCAACGGAGGTTTCCTAAGGTTGCTGATTCCTTCCCTGAGGGAGAGAAAAGCCTTCTAGCGGCGCTGCTTTTCCGTTCTACACTCGGGAACAATAGAGGTCAGCTGCGATACGATGCGGAAGGGAGCACTGGCGCTAGGCTGGGGTATGTCAATCCATTTTTATGTCTCCGCCGTCGTAGAATCCAGCTTCAGAGTGTTACCAAACACAAATGCATGGCGGGTCCGCTGGGATTGTCAATATTCCGCACAATCCCTCTCTGCTTCGTTCCTTTCTTCTGCCTCTACAGAGAATTCCCTTTTCTCAACAAAGAGTCCGCTCCTTCTGAAAGCTTCTTGAATGGTGCACTGTTGTTCTCCTGATCTACTGTAGGACCAGGTGTCCTGACGGGGTTTTAACAGCTACACGCAAGTACGACAGAGTCGGTCGCGGCGTCGTTCGTAGTGGGAGTTCTGCTCCGCTTGGGCCTATACAGCAGTGGAGGAGGCAAATATCGAATAAGGATGGGGTATAAGTGTCTCCGCTGCGGGTGAACAGCGGAAGGGAAGGAAAGGTGTTCCCTTTGGTCTCGGTGACCTTAGGCTTAGGTTCTTTTTGTTGACTGTTTCCTTCTTTTCTAGAGCGGTGATCACAAGGGGAGAACTAGGTGTCCTTTACTGAAGTGTCTACACCCTGTTTATACCCTGGCAGAGCCCATACACAGCCCGCCCGGAGTATTGTTGGCCTCTGCCTCTGCCATCATTCCTCTCCACACAGTGGGTCTCTGCCCACCTTGCGGACTCCGCTTTCCCGATTTCACTGGGGCTTTGAGGCACACCTTCTCGCACGCCTGTCATGGTCCTTCGCTTGCAGGCGGAGGGATGAAAATCCACGGTGGAGTGCGTTTTTCCTACTCCACCTCTCCTGATTCGTCCCGTTTTGGATATTGTTGTTGACCATCACGTATCACATCTTCAGTGGTTCAGTGTTTCTTCCTTGAAGCAAGGGCTCCACCGTACTAGGTCATAAGATGATGAGGTGGAGTCCTGAAGTAATGGTACCTGTGTGCCTGATCACAATGTTTCCATCCGACGGGGAGGGGGCTCTTATCCAATGAGAGCCGTGGAGTGGTGTCCATGGTGATGAGTTCCGGTTCGGGCAGCCTCTGTTCCGATGGAATCGGACAGTGGACCCACGCTAATCTTGACATGAGCGTGTTTCCCAGGCGGAGGTGTGATTCTGCTGGCAGAGCGTGTGTATTTTTTTCCTTTACAGTGTTTCCATGCTTTTCATCGTCGGCAGAGTGGGTTTTCCGAAGGCGGATGTCAATCTAACAGCATTTCCATGCTTTTCATCATCAGCAGAGTGGGTTTTCCGAGGGTAGATGTCAATCTAACAGCGTTTTCATGCTTTTCATCGTCGGCAGAGTGGGTTTTGGATGTCGATCTCACAGTGTTTCCATGCTGTTCATTGTCGGTGGAGTGGGTTTTCCTTTAGAAAAATGTTTGTGCCCATCTGTATATCACCGCCGTAGCATAGGGTAATGCACCGCGGTTTACTTGAGGGACAAGATATTGTTGTCGCGGATGTCCCGGGTTCCACTCCCAGCGGTGCCTTTTCTTTTCAATGTCTTGGTCGTAAAGAATTATCACTGCTGCTTCTCCGCCAGTCGTTCCGCCGTGAGGGATATTACAAGTTTCTGGAGTCGGCGCGTGGAGCCGGCTCACACCGACCACCCCTCGAGCTGGAAAGATTATTGGCGGGCTACGTTGTGCCGGGGAGTGGGAACCCCTTCGCAT